AGTAATACTAAGAACAAATGAATGAATGAATTAATTAATTAGTTATATATTTTAATTAATTAATCAGTTACACTTTATATATTTTGTTATATAATTAGTTATATAGTTATATATTTTTGCATAATTTTTAGTAATATTAATTATTAAGTTATCAATCACTAATTTATTGATAATTTAATAATTAATCAATAGAATACACAATGCTATGTGATATGATAGGCTGCTATTATCAAAGCTTATATTTCACAATTCTCTTTATCAGTTAAATTCAGTTATCACATGTATTTTATAATAATAATTTATACAAGTGTATATACACTACATTCATGCATTTATTTGCATTGATTAAATGATAATTATCATCACAAATTCTGCGTATATTACAGATGATAAATATATTCATGCACTAAAATATGATAATGGAAAAAACATATGAATAATTATCATTATCATAATTTATCATTTGCATCATATATTTTTCCTAAATATATGGATCAAACATATATATCAAATATATAATAGATTTTTCGCTAACTTACTTGTATCACTTATTTGCATTATTTAAATCTAATCTTATCATTTCCTTTGCTTCTCAACTTCCATATTTGCATTTGTAATTCTCAATGCTTTTTTCCAGTTTAGAATTCTTAATTATACTTGAAATTTATTTTGATAATTCCATCGAACTTTTACTTACTTAAATAATCCTTAATTTCATCCAATTCTTCCTTAGGTAAATTTTATTTCCCATCTCATCTAAATAAGTTGTAATTCTAATTTACATTTGAGCAATTCTTAATTTCCAACCTGTAAATTCACTTAGGAAAATTTTCATTCATCTTTTTCAGCAAAAAAAATGAAACACTATTACGGTAACTAATAATTTTGAAGCACTATTACGGTAACTAATAATTAATTTCATCACTATTCTTCCTTAGGTAAATTTTATTTTCCATCCCATTCAAATAATTTGTGTAATTCTTAATTTTCAACCTGTAAATTCACTTAGGAAAATTTTCATTCATCTTTTTCAGTAGAAAAATGAAACACTATTACGGTAACTAATAATTTTGCAATAACCTTAAATCATAAAGCTTAACCTTTTTGCTTAATAAAATTCGCCTTAGCTAAATCATGGTCTAGACATGCTTAATCAAAGTAGCATTTTGAATTTAACATATGAATATGCTAAATTAGCCATTCAAAAAATCTTTTTTTAAATAGCAATTAAATGAACGAATATTCTAACACATTTCAATACTAATCTTTCATTCTCCCAAAATTTAATTATCAATCAAAAGAAAATTTCTACACTACGAGAAGTAGAAAAGTTTTTAAAATCAAAATCTAAAATTTTTTCCTCCTTTAGCAGAAATTGGCAAAAATGATTTTTTGCATAAAATAATTATTAACGATAATTTTATCATTTATCATCTAAATTAAAATTAGTAATTTCCAGTCATTATCAAGCATTTTATCAGTAATTTTCAGTTGCCAGGCAAGTATCAACAATAATTTCCATATTGTCAAACAGGTATTATCAGTAAAATTTTAATTGTCTATTGCAAAAATCATACAACGGAAAAAAGTATCGATAATTTTATCATCTATTATATAAATTAAAATTAGTAATTACCGGTTATTATAAAATTTTATCAGTAATTTTTAAAATTGTCGAGTAGATATTGTCAATAATTTCCATATTATCAAATGGGCATTATCAGTAAATTTTTAACTGCTTTGTTGCAAAAATCGTTCAATGGGAAAAAAGTATCGATAATTTTATCACTAACCTATAAATTAAAATTAGTAATTTCCGGTCATTATCAAAAATTTTATCAGTAATTCTTAATTGTCAAGCAAATATTATCAATATTCATATTATCAAACAGAATACTATCAGCAAAATTTTTGATTGTTTTGTTGCAAAAATCGTTCAGCGGAAAAAAAGGTAAACAAAAAATTAAAGACAAATAGCAAATGCTAACAAACTATAATAATTATATGACACAAACAAACTGTCATCTAATGAAATCATTATTTTATTAAATGACAAACAAAATTGTATGGCATTCAATATTTGACTAAAATTCAAATCATTTATTTTCTGTTTACATTTTTTGGATTGAAATTGTGATTTTGAATTTTGTAAGAGATCGTTTAAAAAAGAAAAGATTAGTTTAGAACTTCTTTGTTTTTAGGAATAAATGATAATTATTATTTCATTATTTTCGTTCAAATTTAAAAAGTAATTAATTATTTTTAATTAAAATTCAATTTTGATAAATGAATAAAATATTGATTAGTAGAATCGTTTTTAATTATACAAAGTATTACGTAAATTCAAATTTAAAAAGTAATTAATTATTTTTAATTAAAATTCAATTTTGATAAATGAATAAAATATTGATTAGTAGAATCGTTTTTAATTATACAAAGTATTACGTAAATTCAAATTTAAAAAGTAATTAATTATTTTTAATTAAAATTCAATTTTGATAAATGAATAAAATATTGATTAGTAGAATCGTTTTTAATTATACAAAGTATTACGTAAATTCAAATTTAAAAAGTAATTAATTATTTTTAATTAAAATTCAATTTTGATAAATGAATAAAATATTGATTAGTAGAATCGTTTTTAATTATACAAAGTATTACGTAAATTCAAATTTAAAAAGTAATTAATTATTTTTAATTAAAATTCAATTTTGATAAATGAATAAAATATTGATTAGTAGAATCGTTTTTAATTATACAAAGTATTACGTAAATTCAAATTTAAAAAGTAATTAATTATTTTTAATGAAAATTCGAATTTGCTAAATGAATAAAACATTGTTTAATAGAATGAATTTTTTAATTGTACAAAGTATATTATGTGAATTCAAATTTAAAAAGTAATTAATTATTTCTGATTTAAATTTAAATTTGATTAATGATTAAAATATTGATTAATAGAAATGAATTTTTTAATTATACAAAATGCTATGATGAATTTAAAACAAAAGCAATAACCATTCTCTCATCTTCTTCCGTTTTCATCTCATTTTCCTTTTCCGATTCCGTTTTTCTTTTTTTCTTTTGGAAGAAAAATTGATGAAAAATTTAAAAAAATACCGATCGAATGAAAAATTCCAAAATGCAAAACGATTGCTCCATTGGGAAATTTCCTTTCGGCAATATATAAATTCATATTTTTTACTTTTACTTTTTTATTATCGAATGTTTTTCAATGCATTATTGATTTCAATGAAATATCCTAAAATATATTTATATTGAAGTATTCGAGGTTTTTCTGTAGAACAATAACAATTTATGGAAAACAAATAAAAATTTCATTGTTCTTTTTTTTTTTTATTGAAATTTTTCGTTTAAAATTTTGAAAACGAAAAAGTTTGTAAAAATAGGCGAAATGTCCCAAAAGAATTAGTATGGTTATTTATCATTAACCTAATTTTCATTCTTATTGTTTTTAATATTTAGCATATATTTTTCGATTTCATCCTCTTTCTTTCCACAAATTTTATTAAATAGTTTGAAGTATTTGAATTTTATTATTTATAGTTATTTATTATTTATATTTTATTATTAATAGTTATTTATGGGATAATATTAAAATTAAAATTAATTAACAAATATTTATAGAATAATACTAAAATCAAAATTAATGAAATTTTGAGTTCAGGCTAATTTATAAAGCTTTAAGTGACAATTAAAAGTTAAGTAATAAAATTTCGAATAACAGTCTCAAATAATAATTTCTGAATTAATTAAAAATTTAAGTATTTGATTATTTATTTTAAGTTTAAGCTAGTTCATAAGGCTCTAAGTAGCAGTTGAAAGTCAAACAATAAAATTCCGAATAATAGTTACAAATAATGATCTCTGAATTAATTAAAAATATAAGTATTTGATTATTTATTTTAAGTTTAAGCTAATTTGTAAAGCGCTGAATGAGTATTTAAATTTTACTATTTATATTTTATTATTTATAGAATAATACTAAAATCAAAATTAATTAACAAAATTTTAACCTCAAGCTAATTTATGAAGCTCTAAGTGGCAGTTAAAAGTTAAACAATAAAATTCTGAATAATAGTCTTAAATATTAATTCCTAAATTAATTAAAAAATATAAGTACTTAATTATTTATTATTCCGATTTATTTCTTTATGGAAAAATATTTATTTCATTTTCTTTCTATAAAATTTCATAACAAAAAATTACATCAAAATTTCTTCCATTTTTTGCAATCAAAAAATTGAGTGATAAAAAATTGATTTCATAAAAGAAAACGATGATAAAGAGAGATGAATAGAAAAGTGCGGGTTAAAAAAAAAAGAGATAAAAGCTGATAAATAAGTGATAAATAATTGTTAGATGAAAAAGCTGTTGAAAAGATAAGGTAAGAAGATAAGAAAAGGGATTGAAACGAAACAATAGCATAAGAAAATTAATAAAAAGTGACGAAAGAAAAAGAATGTTTAACGAAAGTAATAGTGTATGATAAATAAGTGATAAAAAAGTGTGATAAAATTGATAAATGATAAAGGTGAGAAAAGGGATTGAAACGAAACAATAGCATAAGAAAGTTAATGATAAGTGACCAAAGAAAGAAAGTGATAATGTAAATGATTGGAAAAGAATTCAACGATGAAGAAATGGTGATAAAAAAAAACTTTGCCAAATATCACAGACGATAAAAAATGTTGGAATAACATATGAATAGAAAGGATAGCAAAGAGAGGTAGAAAGAGAGAGAGAGAGAAAGAGAGAGAGAGAGTGAAAAGAATGAATTCAAATTCGATTATTCGATTAATAAATTTTTCATTACCAATTTTAGGAAATAAATAAATAATTTGAAAATGGAATGAAACTTTTATAGCTTTATGATAAGAAACTTTCATTTGATATTTCATGCATTTTTGCGCCTCAAATATGTTTATCCATTTCAGCAGGGTTTGTGTTTTTTTCTTCACCAATGTATATCTGTCAACATGCTTGATATTGTTGTCGTTTTCGTTGTCGTTGTTGTTGTTATTGTCGTTGTTATTATTGTTGTTGTTGTTATTGCTGTTGTTATTGTCGTTGTTGTTATTGCTGTTGTTATTGTCGTTGTTGTTATTGTTGTTGTTGTTGTTATTGCTGTTGTTATTGTCGTTGTTGTTATTGTTGTTGTTGTTGTTGTTGCTGTTGTTGTTTTCACCAAAAAAAAATTTTGTCCTCCGCATGTTTGATTTGAACTTAACTTTTTCTCATTTCTCAACGATCATTGTTGATATTTTATTTATTTATTTTTTATATTTTGAAAAAGCTTCATTGATTCATAATACTTATTTATTTATTTGTTTACTTATTTACTTCTATTACTGCCTGTTTATTATTTATTGTTGTTCATTTATCTTTTTATATATTATAAAAAAACTTCATTTATTCATACTACTTATTTATTTATTTGCTTACTTATTTACTTTTATCACTGTCTGTTTATTATTTATTGTTATTTATTTTTTTATATATTTTGAAAAAGCTTCATTGATTCACAATACTTATTTATTTATTTGTTTACTTATTTACTTTTATTACTGTCTGTTTATTATTCATTGTTATTCATTTATCTTTTTATGTATTTAAAAAAAGCTTCATTAATTCATACTACTTATTTATTTATTTGTTTATTTATTTACTTTTATTACTGCCTATTTATTGTTTATTGATTATTTATTATTACATTAAGTGTGATGTTAATAGTAAAGTTTATATCTAAATCTTTTAAATTCTAATATTTTCTAATTTAAAATATTGCTTAACTCAAAAATTGGAATGACTATTGTTGTTTGATGAAATGTTCATTTGTTAAATAATTTGAAAAGTTTTAAATGCCGAAAAATTTATCGTCTCTTTCTTTTTGATATTCGAAATTAATATTGAATGTAATTCACAACGTTTGTAATCATTGCATGAATTCTTCCATCATAAATATCATACATTGTTAAATTATTGTGGCAAATAATTAGTTGAGTTTTCTTTTGTTTTAAAATATTAATTGCTTAATTATAATATGCGTTTGATAGATTGTTACCATTATTCATTTATATGGTTTTAGTTTTGTTGCCCAATTTTTAATATGGGAAAAAATATTCGATTACGACAATGATGATATTACAACAATGATGATATTATCACACCGATCACAAATGCTCGTGTAAGAAAATTATAAAAAGATGTAAATCAGCAAAGGGATGATTGTTTTTGAATTTATAAAATAATGAAGATAAATGATATACGATGATATCGGTTATTTTAATATGCTAATTCATTTTTCGCTTATTCCGAATTTAATGTAGTGTTTTTCAAAGTCGGTAAATTTTCTGACTAGAAAAATTAATAATTCATCTTTTTAGATTAGAAGAATAAAATTTTAAAGGTAAGCTAACCTTTAAAAGATTGCTGATATTTTATTATATTCTAATTAAAGTGTGATGTGATGATATTTGAAAACATTGTTAAGTAATCGTTGATGATTGCAAACGGTGTATCTAAAAGATGAGAAGATATATTTTCACGCGAAATTTTTTTCTCTATTTTGAACTTTATGAAAGAAAAAATCTCTAAAAAGGTTACCAAAGGTTATCAAAGGTTACCAAAGGTTACCTATTTCTCGAATGTGATAATATTAGCAATGATTGAATAAATTTGTTGCAATGGCATTACATATGAAATTACAATATCTTTTCATTAAATCACATAAAAGTTCAAAGAGAGAAATAGAAAAAAGTCAGGAAGATATTTCCTAAACTTTAAATTTTTGAATTTAAATGAATGTGAGAATATTTACATTTTGTGAAATCGAAATTTTCAAATTTTAAATTTTTGTATAAAAAGAAATAAATCAAAATTTCGTAGCAAATTAAGGAAGCTGTATTTCAAGTATAATTGTCGTATAATTATTAAATGGATATAAATAAATAAGCAATAAGTAAATGAATATTAATATCAATACATATCAACATTTGTATTCATTTATTACTCATTTACTAGTTACTGTTAATATCATTGCTATTATCACTGTTGCTATTATTATTAGTGTTATTATAATTATTTATTATAATTGCAACTATTATAATAATTATTATTACTACCATTTATTATTATTATTAATATTATTATTGTTATTATTGTTATTATTGCTGTTGTTATTATTATTGCTATTATTATTATTATTACTATTATTGTTATTATTATCACTATTACTGATATTAATATCATTATTACTAATATTGTCACTATTAAATTCTGACGTAAAAGGAAGTATAAAAAGTACAAAAAGTAAAAAAATTTATTACTCTGTAGAAGGAAATTTTTCTTCCATATTCATTTATCATTTCTCTTTCTTTTTCATTTATATCTTTGCCATTTATCTTTTGAAAACTTTATCATTACTATCACTCTTACAGAATTAATCAACTCTATTACTGATAAACCTCTGATAATTATCCAATGATATATTATCATTTTGTTCAACTTTCATCAAATTACTCATATTGTATCCAAACGAAAGTATTTCTAAATGATTTACAGAAAATTTCTTTTTGTTAGCTTTTGGAATAAAAAGGGCTGAAAGTAAAAAAATTAAATCAAACATTATTTGATTACATAAAGGTAAAAGCAATACAGTGAAAATATAATTTAGGTAACATCAAATTGAGAATTGCGAAAGATACAACAAAAAAATATTTTTAAACCAAATCATTCCAACTACCCATTAACTTATTAGCAAATAATAATATTTCCGTATTAAAAAATCAATTATCAAAAGAAAAAATTTTTAAATTATGTACTTTAAAATTAAGTACTTAAGTACAAAATTACGTAAAATGACAAAAAAAGATACCATTGGCTTAATGGCAAATTATATTTGTGTAAGAAATCAATTATCAAAAAAAATTTTAATTAGGTATTTAAGTACAAAAATATGGAAAATGGAAAAAAAACAATACCATTAGTTTAGTAGCAAATAATATTTGTGTAAGAAATTAATTGTCAAAAAAATATTTAAAATTAAATATTTAAGTACAAAAATACGTAAAATGAAAAAAAAGATACCATTAATTTAATAGCAAATGATATTTGTATAAGAAATCAATTATCAAAAAAAATTTAAATTAAGTACTTAAGTACAAAATACGTAAAATGAAAGAAAGATACCATTAGCTTAATAGCAAATAATATTTATGTAAGAAAACAAATATCAAAAAAAAATTTAAATTAAGTACTTAAGTACAAAATACGTAAAATGAAAGATACCATTAGCTTAATGGCAAATAATATTTATGTAAGAAAACAAATAATAAAAAAGAAAAAATTTTTAAATTAAGTACTTTAAAATTAAGTACTTAAGTACAAAAATATGAAAAATGGGAAAAGAAGGAAAGAAAGAAATTTTTTAGGGAAAAAAAATTAATGAGGTTTTCTTATCGTAAAATTTTTTCATTCTCTTCATCATCATTTTATTTCATTTCTTCTTTACTGTGTGACGTTGGAAAATTTTTGTAATTTTGTTATCATTGATTTTTGAATTATTAATAGTTAAATGAATGATACGATTGTTTAATTGAGGAGAAAATGAAATAATCTTTTTGATATCATCAAATTATTATCCTGATATCATCATCAAATTAGTCTGATAACATCATCAAATTATTATCCTGATAACATCATCAAATTATCCTGATATCATCATCAAATTATCCTGATATCATCAAATTATTATCCTGATAACATCATCAAATTATCCTGATATCATCATCAAATTATCCTGATATCATCAAATTATTATCCTGATAACATCATCAAATTAGCCTGATAACATCAAATTATCCTGATATCATCATCAAATTATCCTGATATCATCAAATTATTATCCTGATATCATCATCAAATTAGCCTGATAACATCAAATTATTATCCTGATATCATCATCAAATTATCCTGATATCATCAAATTATTATCCTGATAACATCATTAAATTAGAAAAAAAAGAGGATAATTTGGTGATAATTAAATTCTTTTCTCTCTTTTCTTTTTCAAATTATCATCCAACTGATATTTTGGTCTTTTTCACTTCGTTTAGTATGATAAGCTCAAAACTTTTTGTACAAATTTATTTCTCTTCTTTTATGAAGATAACGAATTGTTTAATATATATTACAATGTTTGATAGTGTATGATGACTATTTCACTATTATTAACTATTATCATTATTATCATTGACTATTCATTAATATTTATTATTACGTATTACTATATTATTTATTACTGTTATTTATTACTTATTATTACTGTTATTATCATTATAATCAGTAGCGATATTGGTATTAGATTTTTTTTTAATGCTGCTAAAGATATTATTACCATTAATACTATTATATATCATTCATTATTACTATTAATATTATTATATATCATTTATTATTATTTCTAATAATATTATTACTTATCACTTAGTAACACTTTTTATTACTATTATTGTCATTTTATTATTATTGTTATTATTATCATCATTATTATTATTATTATCACTATAATATTATTATTGTTATTGTTGAAAAGCTAACATTAATAAGTAAAAATGCTAATTGATGAAATTTATTTTAGGAAATTTATTTTGTTTAATTAATATAAATTATAATTGAACACATATTTAATGGCTATATTACTACAAACAACAATGACTGAAATGAATCATTTGTAATAATTTTACTATGAATAAATTGAAAAATATATTTTATTTTCTGAATAACACGTTTAATTTTTATAATATATAAAATTATAAATTGTCAAATGCTTTTTCATTATTTTATTAACAGTTCTGTAATTTCAAATGTTTACAAATCGAACTCCTCCCTTTTTGATATTAAGTATTGAAAATGTAGAACTCTTTAATTTACACAATATTACAAATATTTCCACAATCCATTTCCTTCCAACCAGTCGACGAGCACTTGTAAAATTTTGTTTTATTGAATGCTTTTTCCATCAATCATAAGAATTTCATCTTCCTTTTTTTTTTGAAATCAATTAAGAAATTAATGTTACAAATAATTGTGTAATAATTTATTTTATATTTTATTGTCCTTGTTAAATTAAATTTTTAATTTTTTAATTTAACTATCATATTTTTTTCTCTAAACAAGAAAAATATTAACACAATTATCTGTCAAAAAATTTTTCACATTAATTAATTTTCATTCAATTGTTTAAATTTCCTGTCTATTGTTAATTATGGCAACAATCGTTATTTCGTAGATTCTGGAATTAAATTTTATTAACATTTCGAAAATACGAACCGGAAGAATCTGTCAATAAATAGAAAATTTACATAAAATAATATTAACATTTCGAAAATATGAATCGAAAGAATCTGTCAGTTATCAGAAAATATACATAAAATAATATTTGCAATGATAAGATTATTTCGTTTTATGTTTATAAATTAGTTGTGAATCATTCCGTAAATATGAAGTAATGTGATAAATTGTTCAATAATTAATAAATAATAAAAACTTATTTTATACTACAATATAATTAATATAAATAAATCATATGTAAATGTGAAACTATTTTTAGCAAACTTTAATCACCATAGCATATAGTGAATATAACTATAATTATAGCTAAAATTTATTTTATAATTATCATTTTCGAATTAGCATTGTTATATGAAATAGTATTCATTGTTATTTAATATTTATACAATTATAAATACAATATAAATCACTTTGTTTTGTTCTTCTGCTTTAAGAAATTTCCTTTTTTAATTTAAATCTTATTTATCAAATTTTAATTTAAAAAAATAAGCTTTCTTCTTCATAAGAATTTAATTTTTTGATAAACTCAAATTTAATTTGATAACTAAGAAATTATCAAGTTAAAATAATTTTTGAATTATTATTTTATTTAGGTTATAAAATAATTCGTATCGTTCTATTATTCGATTACAATTATCTATTCCAACTGTAAAACTCATATTTTAAATTAATTATTTCATTTAGATTATAAATTAATTCTTATCATTCAATAAACTAATTATTCAATTACAATTATCCATTCCAATTATAAAATTCGTATTTTAGATTGTTTCATTTATATTATAAAATAATTCGTATCATTCCATTATTCGATTACGATTATCTATTCCAATTATAAAATTCATACTTATTTTAAATTAAAATAACAAAATTTTATTTTGAACAAAAAAAATTTCAACATTTACAATAGATAATTTTTATAGTAAGACAATATTTATTATAGCTAAGAAATAATTTACACAATTCCCTAAAAAAATTTTATCGGAAAATTTGATTTCATTTTCTCCAAATCAAATTTACATTTCTGATTTTTTTGCTCGCTCTTTTTCATTTCAATTGCTCGTAAAATATTAGCACAAAAATTATTTCTTCCTTTATTTTAAATATTATTATTTATGGCATAAATTCAGGCTTAAAAAAATGATTTTAAACTTTTTATATTATTCGATATGCAATGGCTGATAAAATTTATTTTTGAATTTCTTTAAAGAAAAATTGAAAAACTAAAATTATTACTTGTTTTAGTTGATGAAATGGATGAGAGAAAAAGAAATGTGAATTTTAGAAATATTTCAAATCAAACATTTTTTTCCAATTTGATTGATTTCAGTTCTTTTTTTTTTTTGCTAATTAATCTTTCACGTAATATACAATCGATCAGATTAAATTACAACTTCCTTGTTTTCTATCCTAAAATTTTTAAATTGTAAATTTGATTTTTTTTTAGCATAGTATAGTTATATATATTATAGATAAAAAAAAAGTCAAATTTATAATTTAAAAATTTTAGGATAGAAAAAATATACGAAAAAACGATACTAAAATTTATTTCTAATTGATTTTAAAATTCAATAAAACTTTACTTGTTATGTTATAAAATTTGTATGTAATAGTTGTTATCTGTTAGAGATTTCAATGTAAAATGAACTTTAGAAATGTATGAAAAATTATGGTGAAGAAAAAAAGAATAAAAGTATTTAAGAATAGAAGAAATAAACGAAATAAAAATAAAAAGGTTTAATTAAACAAAATTAATAAGTTTTCCTAAAAAGAAAAGGCCTAAATTGTAGATATTAGATGGTTAAAATTGACGTGGAACACGTATGATATGTGTCGTAGAATAGATTCAATGATCATTTATAAATCACGTTAAAATGCTGTTGAAATTGAAATAATTGTTGAAGTAGTTTTCAATGTGTTCCCTAAAGATATGTTAAGCATAGAATAAATACTTATCAATGATTAATGCTCAAAAATGATTGATAATCATCATATCTTTTATGAACTGAATTTATGAAACATAAAATTAGTCATTTGAATTTCAAAATAAATGTCTCTAAAGTTATCTGAAAAAAATTACATGATAACATGCTTTTTGTGTTGCATGATAACATTGTGTATTTTAGAAATTACATGATAACAATGATAAGAAAAAGTAACGACTAAAAAATAATCACTTATTCAATGTTAACATCTGTAATGATTAAATATTATGTATAAATTAGTAATGATTAAATATTACATATAAATTATTTTGCGTTTGATAAGTAGGAAACTAAGAGAAATGATAAAGTTATCATTTTAATTTCATTTAAATGGTTTGGAAAAAAAAATTGAAGTAATTAGAATTGATTAAAATTAGTGAAATATCATGTATATCACATATTGATACAATGATAAATCATATATTGATATAATACAACGATCAATAATTACTTTGTAGATCAGTGTAAAGTATTGATTGATATTAACCTTTCATTAATTTTATTATAATATTTTATGAAAGATAGACATAGAAGAAATTGCTAATATGCTGAAAATTTAATTTACTAAAAATTTTATTTTTAAAGAAAAATATTAAAATTGTAAAATTTTTTCATTCATTAATTTAACAATCATAATAAATAGTATAATAAAGCAAAGGTTAAAGGTTACAACAAATATATAATTACGTTACTCATATATATATATATATATATATATGTGTGTGTGTTCTTTTTTAAGATTAAAACTTTTAATGAATAATTATTGTAATAATTTTTAGTGTGTAAATATGGCGTGGAATATAGTGCCTATATTATTAGTATTATATGGATTTTTAAAAGATTTCAAGCCTGGTGAACCATTTCTATTTAAATATCAAACTAATTTTTTAAATCTCACCGAAACACAACTTAATGGTGAAGTATGTAATTATTGATTTTTCCTTTCTTTCTTTCTTTTTTTTTTACAGAAAATAAATTACACAATAAAATAAGAATTGAAGTAAATAATTAATTAATTATGTAAGTAATTACTTAAAATAATTTAATGAAACAAATAGACAATCGTTTCAATGAACAAAAATCATGGAATGTTGTTTAATGTTACATTTTTGATATGTAATAATTTTTTCAAATTGAAATGTAACAATTTCATTGAACAATATTGTAATGTAAAAGAAAAATAAAACAGGCCTAGAATTATTGATTTAGAAATATTGAGCTTAACTTTAACAAATTGTAACTTAACCTAGAAAATAACTTATACACACACACACACACACACACACACACACACACACATGAATTATTAATTTGAACTAAAATTAATACATCATTTATAATCTAAATTTAGTCAATTCATTTCAAATGTATTCGATATAAAATTATATTTCAGATATATCCATATTGGACATATAGCTATTTGATTACACTTATTCCAATATTTTTATTAACTGATTTACTCCTTTATAAACCAATTTTAATTTTAGAAAGTATTGGTTATATGGTTTTCAGGTAATATCCATTTACAAAAGTAATATTTCATAAAATTGTTACAACATATATTTTTTTCGTTCATAAATTTTAATAATAAATTAAACTTACCTATTATTCGTATCAATTAAGGTATTATAATTATATAATAATAAATTCCAAATTATTTAACATTCATATCAGTTTGACGTAATTACATTTAACAATTATTTTTCCAATTAAAATTTAATTATAATAATAATTTAAAATTGCTGAATAGTATAAATATATTATCAAACTGTAATAAAATAACCAAAGATAATTTTGTTTTGTTTTGTTTTATCATTTGTAATTATAGAATTACATTGGTATTTGGTTCGGGTATATTTTTACAACAAATTGGAATGAGTTTTTATGGTGTTGCATCAGCAGCTGAAATTGCCTTTTATTCATATATTTATGCTAAAGTTAGAAAAAATGATTATAAACGGTAAACAATTATTTATATTTTCAATTTACCCGAAAAAGAATTTTTTTGTTTTTTTTGCAATTTAATTGCAATTAAAATTTGTTTTTACAAAATTGTATTAAATTAAAATTAGTATTATTTGTAATTTAGGTTTGTTTATAATTTAATCATCATATTTTAGGTTAACATCATGGACACGAGCATCAACAATGGCTGGACGTACATTTGGTTATTTGTTAAGTCAAACAATTGTATTAACTGGTATTGGTACTTATTTAACCGTTAATCAAATTTCACTCATCTCACCTGTTTTAGTATTTATATTCGGTATGTGTTTTCCACAGATACAATGGAAATCATTGATCGAACGAATTAAAATTACCAAAGGTTAATTGATTGATTTGAAAAAAAAAATTTTTTTCTAATTTGAAATTATTTTTTCATCTTTTAAGAAAAAATTATATTAAATTATATTTCTGATTATATTTGAATATTTGACAAATGATGCATTCATTTGGTCATTTTGGTCATTTTAGTATGGACAAATGATACATTCATTTGGTCATTTTAGTATGGACATATGATACATTCATCTGGTCATTTTGGTAATGGCTACAAGTAGGATAATAGAATGAAATTGGAAACAAATATGTTTACTGGAATTAGATAACTGATAATTCAAAAAAGTGACCAGTTTCAAGTTGTGCATTAAAATATGTAAACAAATTATATACACGTAACTCGTAAGTATAATTTCTATAGCATCTATATTCTAGCATCCGTATAACAGTCCTATTTTCTTTATCATCTAATGTTTTACTAAGTTGAAATCGAATTTTAAGATATAGAAAGGTTTAATGAACCGACGACATATATGCAATATGTGAAATTTCGAATGGAAACATTATGGTCTAATACAAAACAAATCTATGGGATTGGATTTGTAAGGAAATGGTCACTTTGGTGGGCAATGACAACCTGTATGTCCTTACAGGTGAGATTTATCAGTTATTTTTAACACTTATCAGCAAAGTATAGTTTGATATGAAAATAAATTGATATTATTATAACAACTTGTTTCATTAATGTACAAGCAATTGATATTCGGAATAATTTTTTAGAACAATAAGTAAAATTTGCATATTTTGATTTTTATTAATTATTTCACTTAATATTTACTTTATCAATTCATATTCAAAGTTAGGTTAGCGCTTATTCGCAAACATTATGGGGCGAAGTGCAAAGGGAGGAAACGACGACATTTAATGGATTCGCAGAAGCAACTTATACGGCTTGTGGCAAGCACTTTTAAATATTTTCTCACTCAAATAATCATTTAAAATAAGCCAAGGGGTATTTTTCAACCTTTCCATGGTACTTTTCAACCTTTCCAATTCACCTTGGCTCTTTCAAATTCATCTTGGCCTTTTTCACACTTTAGTGTATTTCCATCAGTTGGCTTTGCTATTTTTACTTTTCATCAATTTCCGAATCTGCCAGATGAGCATACATGGAAAATCATAGACTTATACTATTGAGTTTTTGGTATAGGTTCATTTTGTTTCAGCTGCCATTGCGATAATGCTGATGAATATGATATCAATTGACTGGGATAAATGGGGCGAAGCGGCATTGGTACTAATTTCAAGCGTCGATTGCGCTTTGTTGTTACTATTTAGCCAAGCGCAAACGATCTACGTGATGTATATCTGCTATATATGTTATCGTACACTCTACCAAGTGATGATAACTATTGCACAGTATGTATTTAATTTAATTTCAATACTACCTAAACGTGTAATGTATAAAAATAAAAATTCCTTTATTTTCATATTTGGATGAAGAAATTTTCCAGTAATCGTAATTCAGCCAACTATATTCAAAAATGATGATTACGCATCATAATCGTTATCACCATATATCATCGGTAAGATATGAAGTGAGAATGCATTTCTCAATATGCATTGAATGATTTACGGAGAGAAGTTTTAAGGACTAAATATTAGATATAGTTGTGATTATTTATTATAATTATCGTAATATCGAAATGGCAAAATGAATGATTTATTAAACAATAATGCAGATGGAATTTGGCCAAAAAGATGGTCAGTGAAAGTTATGCACTGATATTTGGCCTAAATTCATTTGTGGCACTTATTTTACAAGCGCTCTTGACGATGATCGTTGTTGATGAACATGGTCTTGCTATGAGAGTTAGATCACAGGTTTCAATTTTTCCATTTATTTAACATTTGAAGTCTTTACGAATAGTTTTTCATTCGTCATTTTCTAACATTACGTGAATACACGTGGACACGTGAATTAAGTGTAAATTTATCAACGTTACAATTGAAAAACTACAAAATAGAGTTTTTATCATTTTCTATGCAAAATGCAAAGCTATGCAAAATAGTAATAGTTTTCGTCATTTTCTTCACGTTACATGAATAAACGTAGATACGTCAAGCGTAAATTTGTCAATGTTACAATTGCATAAAACTATGCAAAATAGTTTTTATGTTAGTTATAATTGTTCCATTTAAATATTTAGCTTTTAAATGATCTGTTTAACTTGTTCATTTTGCATACGATAATTAATTGTAATTGTCACCCACGCAAAACTGCTCAATTTCAGTTTTTGGTATACAGTATCTATCATGCGGTAATTGCTCTCATTTTCCTCTTTTCAATTGCGTGCAATTTAATAAATCATTATCGAAATCGATTCGTAATATATTCCTTTAATCTGAATACGATGAATCATGAAAATCTGCTTGAAAAGCTTGGGCAACCAGTTTTCACTAATTCAAATCCCGTATTCCTTCAATGTATTTCATATCGGTGAGAAAGGTAATACTGTTGGCGATTACGATAATAATTGTATGAATGTTACTGATAACTGATAAAGGTAATTTGAATAAATAAATTTGAACTTTATTTTTTGACATTTTGAATATGTACAATTATTTATTATTTGACGAATGAAGTTTTATTAAATGAAAATGAAAAGCAACTTGTGATAATGATTTGTGTTCATGTTAATGATAAGTGATAATGAAAGATGAAGATTGATTTAGATTTACAAAAAATGAGCTCAAATTGATATTCATTTTTAATCATTTCAATATTGTTAAAATAATAATTATAGTAATAGTTGATATACAAGCAAATACTATAATTTAACTTTTCGTAAATTATTCATAAACTTTTAATAAGTTATTTGTTTTTTCTTCCTCATTATAACCAAGCATCAATTAAAATAATTTCTTCATTGAATTCAAAATTTAATAATTATATTAATTATAGTAAAAAAATATTTTAAACTATGAATTAGAATAACTCATAAATAAAATCACTTCAATATTGTTAAACAATAATTATAGTAATATTTCATATATAAGCAAATACTATAACTTAATTTTTAATAAATTACTCGTTTTTTCTTCCTTATTATAAGCATGCATCAATTAAAATAATTTCTTCATTGAATTCAAAATTCAATAATTATCAAATAATTATATTAATTATAGTAAAAAATTTTTTGTAATTACAAATTAGAAAATATTTCAAAAGAAAGAAAAGAAAAATCTCCGAAATTAGAAAACACTAAAAAATTTATAAAAGAAAAATAATTTTAAATCAAAAATATTTTATTTTTTATCAATTCAAATATTTCTAATTAATTTCTTATATTAATTATTTACAAACAATAATTATTCATAAAATCTTTTCTTTCAATAAAATTAATTAATAGAGTGATAAATTGAGAGAGAATTTATCACTGAGAGTGATAAGTTTAATTATTCAATAAAATTAATTAATGAGAAAAATATTTCAGCTAAAATGTTTCATTGTCAGATTAAAATTTTCATGTTAACTGACAAATTCAAATCTTCATATTAAAGAATATTGTTGATTATGGCTTTGCTATTAAAATATGATAATGTATTACTATGATTTTTTATATCATGAATGATTATAATTTATTATTTAATTAATTTAATCAATGAATTTTATTTAATTAATCAGTTTTAGTTAAAAATCTTTTTTCTAACACTTTATGAATGATTATAATTATTGTTTATTGAAGTGGAAATTAATAAAATAATTAGAATAAGGATTACTGTGTCATTATGTATTAATACTGTATTATTATGATTACTGTATTATTATACATAGATACACGATTGTGTTTCTCGCGGTTACAGATTTAGAGTAAATTATTCAGTTCAATAGCATCCATTTTATTATTATTAGTTATAATCAATAAAACCATAAATGATAATTTAGTATTATTAGAATTCATAATAGCAAATGGAATTTACGCTTTTTACATTTTATATCACTTGAATCGTTTCATTCTGTTAGAATTTATCATCCTACAAGTTTATCAAAGTGATAACGATAGGTTAAAGAGAATTAATAGAAATTTCAACTTCATTTAAAACTAAATTACTTCCAGGTGAGTAAAGTGGAATATTAACTGAAGTGTATTTTTACTAATAACATATTTCCTGACAAAAAATAAATAATAGAATTAAATTAGGCGCAAAAAATAAGACATAATTATTAGCTAATTAGTGAACAAACAAATAAAAGTAATAAATTTGAAATTCCGAAATTTTTAGTCAAAACTTATACTTTTATTATTTTCTTCATATCCTATTCTTAGAGCTAATAAATTGAGAAACTATGGTGAATGATTTAAATGGAATGGATTTTGAAATGGTTCAATAAAAATTTTTATTTATTTTTTATTTTTGAAATTAGTTACTTTTCGAGGATGTGATGTTTAGAAATTCACCAATTATTTGCTTATTTATTTATTCGTTTTTTTTAATAAATAATGGAGACAAATTTAACATTTCATATAACACAATAAATTTGCAACCTTTTTTAGTTCCAGAACTAAAAGTAATTCTGAAATTATTTTGCTTTTTTTTTACTCATAACTTTGTTACCACGGATTCTAACTGAGAAAAGAAATAGCTTCAGATATTTTCTGATTTCATTCCAATGCTTATGTTGCACTTGTTGCTGTTTCCGCAACATTTGTTATTGATTCTATTTCCTGATTTGGTTGCATTACTTTCAAAAAATTTATTGTTGATTTTGTTTCCTGATTTGATTGCGCTGTTTCTGCAGCGTTTGTTGTTGATTCTGTTTCCTGACTTGATTGCATTGTTTCTGCAGCATCTATTGTTGATTCTGTTTCCTGACTTGATTGCATTGTTTCTGCAGCATCTATTGTTGATTCTGTTTCCTGACTTGATTGCATTGTTTCTGCAGTATCTATTGTTGATTCCGTTTCCTCACTTGACTGCATTGTTTCTGCAGTATTTGTTGTTGATTCTGTTTCCTGACTTGATTGCATTGTTTCTGCAGCATTTACTGTTGATCCTGTTCCCTCACTTGGTTGCGTTGTTTCTGCAGCATTTGTTGTTGATTCTATTTCCTGACTTGATTGTGTTGTTTCTGCAGCATTTGTTGTTGATTCTGTTTCCTGACTTGATTGCGTTGTTTCTGCAGTATTTGTTGTTGATTCCGTTTCCTGACTTGATTGCGTTGTTTCTGCAGCATTTGTTGTTGATTCTGTTTCCTGACTTGATTGCGTTGTTTCTGCAGCATTTGTTGTTGATCCAGTTCCTTGATTTGGTTGCGTTGTTTGTGCAACATTCGTTGTTGATTCCGTTTCATGACTTGGTTGCGTTGTTTTTGCAGCATTTACTGTTGATCCTGTTCCCTCACTTGGTTGCGTTGTTTCCGCAACACTTGTTGTTGATTTTGCTTCTTGATTTGGTCGCATTGTTCCTGTAGCATTTGCTGTTAATTCTGTTTTCGGACTTGGTTGCGTTGTTTGTGCAGCATCTGTTGTAGATTTTATTTCTTCACTTAATTGCGTCACTTGTGCAGCACTTGTTGTTGCTTTCAGATCTGATCTTGCCGTTGTTGTGGCGTTTACCAATATTTCAGCTAATTTCAATGTTTCCACAGCAGTTGTAGTTTCGATATTTAATTTTGATGTTTCTGTATCAGCTCTTGTTTCCAGACTTGATTCCGATGTCTTCTTTGTAATTTTCATTTGAGATAATGATGCACTGCTAAACGTTGCAGATTCTGTAGTCGGCTTTTCTTTGTCTAACTTATCACTACAATCTTCAGGTTCATGAAATCTGTAATTGTTTTGTTCCAACCATACAGCTTCAATTTTTTCTTGCGTATTACAATAGGGGCCTTTGCAAATGCAAACCGGTAGCTTTGTCGTTCTTCTTTTGTAACTATTATGTTTCGGATCCATGAAACAGCCTTCTTTGACTTCTTTCATACTGCAGTTTATTCTACTTCTCAACTGAAATCATATAATTACCATAAAATTAAATCATCATTCTGATTAATAGTGAGTATAGCGAATAAAAGCATTGATTTTCAACTTCATGAAAAGAGAACGATCATATTGCAGAAGGTACCGTACTTTTGTGATCTACACGAATTATACGATATTCAAATATCACTCATCGATTTATTTTTCATTTAATTAATTTTCCTGATGCTACAGAAACAGTTGAAACTTGAATGATAGATATGATCAATTCTACCTCAGCAGTAGAATAACATTTCTTATCCAATGGTATTGCTCGAAGGTACCAACTTTCAGCATTTCGATCGTACTGCAAATAAAAAAAGAACATAAACTTTTAAACTTCTTATATGTGAAAGAAGGAAATTTTCCAAATTAAATATTAAATTTTCAGCTTTTTTTTATTAATTAAATATATTTTCATCTTTTCTTTAATTAATTAAACGTATTTTTATCTTTTCTTTAATTAATTAAATATATTTTCAACATTATCAAATAAGAAAATATATCAAAATAATTATATCAATCAATATTCCAAACAAATTCTTGCAAATAACCAATAATTCACCAGGTTAACTTATGCTATCGCCGATTAAATTTAACTATAGCTAAATTAAGCTACCGCCAATTAAATTTAACTATAGATAAATTAAGCAGATTAATTCTTTATGTGACATTTATTTAGCAATTGCAAAATTTGCAAAAAAATGAAAAATACCAAAGATGCACAAAATTCTTCGTTATCATTGCATTTATAAGTTTTCTCCGTAAATGATGAATATGCATCCCAATGTACCGTATAACAGAATAATGATACAGTATAACTGGCACTAATAAATAGCAATAGTGTTATACGAATAATTGAATCATATATTTTTCTCATATTTCTCAAAAATTTAGAAACTCGATTAAAAAACATTTCTATTATTTAGATATCATATTGTGATCGCTAATATCATATTGTGAAATGAGTTTGAAGTTTAACTATGATATGATAATAATGATATCTTATAATACGGCAGATTGATAGATATGCTGGTTATAATAGAAACAAAATCGACATGGTAAAATCAGTAAAGAAAATGATTACCAGTTTTTAAGTAATTGAACTGAATAACTGAGTAAAATACAATATGATAATTAAGAATTTCTGAACTAAAATACCGTATGAGAATAATTCGGGTATTCAGCAAATTCAGCTATTTTATCACCAAAATAATCATAATCATTACGATAGAATAAATTAAACCAAAACTATCGTAAAATATTGTTGCATTACCAAAAGTAAAATATACGGAAACTTCAATCTATTTTATTATTCATAAGCCATATACATTTTGGAATTTGTTTACAATGTTGCAAATATTTGGATATGATATTTTTTTCTACTCAACAAAATTGTAAATATTGCAGCAAATATGAAGAGAAAAAAAATTTAGAGAAAAATTTTAGAAGAATTCCTAAAATCATTTCACACGATTACCATTTCTCTATACCATAAATTTAAATATACTAATGAAAGATATACCTGACAATTTCTATTTTCCATTTATATACAATATTTCAATATAACATAAAACTTATATAATAAAACAAAACAGTAATTTTAATTAAATAATTATTTCAAATTTTATAAGCTTAAAAAAAAATTACTATTTGCTAATATTTGATAAATAAAAAAAAACATTAAAAAATTTAGTAATTAAAAAAAACTCATTTCTATTCAAATATTCAATCAATTTTAAGTTTTTTTCAAAATGTAAAAAATAAAAAATAAATTTAAAGAATTTTTTTGTAAATGAAAAGCTGAAATTCCTTTCGTTATTGCCACCTTCTCATTTCTTCCTTTTACATCTTTCTTTTTTGTTTTTCTCCATAAAATTATGATAAACTAATAAGTGCTTATATATTTTTTGTTTGTTAAAGTTTTGCAAAAATTTTCAAATAATCAAAAAAAGAAGGAAGAATTTAGGAAGAAAAAAAAATTGAAGAATTTTAGGGACAAAAAGAAATTAAAAATTTTAGGATCAAAAAAAAATTGAGGAATTTTAGGAACAAAAAAAAATTGAGGAATTTTAGGAACAAAAGGAAATTGAAAATTTTAGGAACAAAAAGAGATTGTAAATTTTAGGAACAAAAAGAAATTAAAAATTTTAGGAACAAAAAAAAAAAGTGAAATTGAAAGTAAAACTGAAATATAAGAAGAGAAATATTTTCCTTAGTTTTATTAACAAAAAAAGGAAAAGTGCTAATTTAAAAAACAAACATTTTCATTCCATTCCCATTCATTCATTTGTTTTTTGCATTTTACTTTTTCAATGTTAAATAAAACTAAACGCTATGATTAATATAAAATCTTTTGTTTCTTTGAATTATTAAAACTGAAAATGTTATAATATGAATAATTGCAAAATTTAATCGATGAATCAATCAGTTTCATTTCATTTTTCTAAAATGTTTTGTTTTAGAATCTTTTTTTCCCTCTCTCTCTCTTTTTTAATTCAAAAAATTTTATTTTACTTTTTCATTTATTCATTTTAAAATTTCAAATGGTACTATTTATTGTCTTAATTAATTTACTTAAAGACCTAAATTAGTCTAATCAATTACTAAAGAAATAATTATGGAAGTACTGTAATTCGAAAAAGTAAATTCACTATTTATTGTTGAATTATTTTACTTAAAGACTTAAATTAGTTTAATTAATTACTAAAGAAATTATTATGGAGGTATTGTAATTCAGAAAAAATGTAAATTAATTAATTTAGTTGATTTAATTTTTTATTCTTTTAAAATACATTGTAATAATAGAATGGAAAATGATGAACTGAAATAATTTACTAAAATCATTTAATAAGTTATTAAGTAAATAATTGCAAATACAGGCTAAATGAAAAGAAGACTGTTTTGTTCTTTTGATATTTCCGTTTTTCAATTCAAAATTTCTTTCTTACCTATTCCTGATATTGTACTCTAATATTCGAAAAGAAGAAGAAATGAAATTCTAATTTTATTTCAACGAAGATTATCAATAATAATAATTTTACACTTAACTAATTGAATATCCATTAATTAGCAAATGAGTAAACAATAAATAAATTGGAAATGTTTTAAAAAATAATTTAAAATCTCTATCTTACTAAAAAATAATTTAAAATCTCTATCTTACCTTATTTACAAGTTTTCAATTAACAAATTATATATCCAGTTCTTTTTTTTCATTGTACAAAAATTCAACTATTTGGTTTTTCTGCTAAGTTGTAAATTTGAAAAAAAGATAAATATGAAATAAACAAATATGCAAATATTAAAAAATTGGGTGATGAAAAAAATCATATTTAAAATTATTTTTATACATACTAAATTAAAATCAATATATACACACATATATATATATCAATTATGTCAAAAATATTTCCTCTAAAAACTAAAATTAAAATTTATTAATTCTTTTTTTAAATTCAAATTATACTATTTCAATAAAAGGTTTTTAATAAGCGTAGAAAAAATTTTGCAACTTTACATATACTTATCAATAATGTACAATTGAGATATTTCAACCAATAAATATATTTTATTGAATTTTTTGAACAAAAAAACATTTTGTTGTTTTAAATAAATAATTTAATTAAATTTCTCATCACATTTAAATTTCAATCAAAAATTAAATGGTTTACAATCACCATCTACAACATATGTTGTATTAATTGTTTTGTAAATTTCTGTTATCTTTTCCCTCGTATTACACTTTGACCCTGCGCACCAACAAAGGAAAAAATTTTCGTAGCGAATTTTATCACGATAGCAACCTTCTGCTGGTACTTCTTCATCACTGCTACATGCCAATTTTTTACGCAACTAAAAATTAATTAAATAAAATTTGCTAATTAAATTAGAGCTATGTTAAAATGAATAAAATGTTTGCTGAAATTTGAAATGGATTAAATGAAATTTAACCTAAAATACGATCAATAAAGGTTTTTCAGTAATTAAATTAAAATTTGTAAAAAGAAAACTAACATATTGTTTTGTAAAGCATTCATATTCACTATGTAATACTCTCCACCAACCAACAGATTCATGAAAGTATGTTACTCGTGGATTATACTGAAAAAAAACAAAAGAATTAAAAATTTTTAATTAAATTCAAAAAATTGAAATTTTAGTATTAACCAGGAATTGGGAATTATGCTAATGCAAGGATAAGATAATTAGCTCATATAAAATGGAATTACATAAATGAATTTGAAATTTATTTGATCCGTTGAAAATTTTACATCATTTTAATTGAAATAAATTTTCTTATTGTTTTGGTATTTTTAAAATATCCAAAATAATTTCTAAAAAGGAATAAAAAACTTCTTATTTACAAATTTTTCGATTTTATCAAAAATAAAATTGAATGAAAAATACAAATTTGAAATGTAAAATTAAAAAAATTTTTTTCATTGTTTTAAATTTTTGAACTAATTTTTTCTCTATTCTTTAATTTAGTACCAACTAGGAAAGTTGGAAATTATGATGATGCATGATATTATATATTATTATGAAAATTTTTTTGTTTTAAAAATTAATTAAACTTACGCCTGAAAAGCATATTGCATCTGTTTCATTTTCCTTACATTCATCGATCACATCAATCCAACCTGTTGGACTAGCTTGATTGGAACGAGAAAAATAGCAACTTGTTGCTAGAGCCATTTGAATTTCCATTAAGCAAAATGATAATGATATTATCAATACTATACCAATCATAATTTAAATTTCACCTAAATAATGAAAAATATGAAAAATTAAATTTCAAAAAAATTTTTTTTAATTTGAAAAAAAATTTAGGCAATAAAAAATTTCGGCAGTAAATTATTTCATTTCTATTTTTCTTTTCTTTGAAAATATCAAAATAAATCAATTGAAATTTTAATGCTTAATTTTAGCTAAGAAAAAAGAATTACGCAAGGTTTTCTTTTGCAAAGTTTACTTTGCAATAGTAATTTAAATTTAAGTAACAGATTAATAATTGCATTTACCTAGTTATAATTTATAATTATAATTTAATTATGATAACATTTATTATTTACAATAATACACTTATCGAATATTTAGAATATTATCTGATATCAATAAATATTCAATTTAAAAATTAAGAATTTTGATTATTTTGGTAATCGATAAATATTGACAATAATTATAATATGCAATAGTCTTAAAATAGAATAAATGTTGATAATTATATTACTGATTAAATAATCATTACTTAAAATAAAATATGCAAACTTATTTTAATCAATAATTTATTTATTTAATTAATCGGTTAATCGATCAATGATTATTATTTTCCATTCACCATTTCCCACATTTTATATTTCCTCATTCTATTTTCCATACTTTTCGTCTGATTTAATTATATCCTCTTTAACACTTCACAATAACCTTTCAACTTATTAATATGAATTATTTGACAAAAAAGTCGAAGTATAATATGCTAAAATCAATCAATCAATCAAATCAATTAATCAATTAATCAATCAAAAGTTCATCTCTTAATTAATTCAAAATTTCTAACTAATCCATTTACTAACATTAAGCGTTCACTTTTTAGATATTTAAATTAAACACAATAATTAAAATAAATAATGTAATGCATTAATACGTAATTTATTGTAACATTTGTAATTAACAATTGAAATAATTAGAAACAATAAAGGATAAATTATTTTGTTAAATAAACTCGTCAACAATCTCTGTTATCTAAGATATAATAAACAATGTTTGGTATTTTAGCAAAATAACATTTCGTCAAAAAAATTTTGCGATTTGTAAAATTTCAAATTAAAACCTTTAAAAAATGCCAATCATAAAGTTTGCTCGAAATGTGACTTTCATTAAAGAAAACAAAGAAATGAAAGACATTAAACTTAATTATGAAATTGATATCATTAAGTTAAATAAATATATTTTATTTTTCAAATATGAATAAATTTAAAAAATTTTTGCTTAGTTAAAAATTTCATTTTATTCCATTGATTTTATTTAATTTCAATTAATTTAATTTTAGTATTTATTTAATTGAAAATTTTATTTTACTTCACTGATTTTATTTAATTTGAATTAATTTAATTTTAGTACACATTTAATTTATAATTAAATATGAAATTGATATCATAAATATTTTCCCAAAGCCATTTCTTCTTTTCTTTCAATGAAAAGTAACAGTTATGAAAATTTCTAACAAATAGACATACAATAATTGCTTAACTTATCTATTTAATATTTTAAAATTAATTAAATAATTACTTCCATTGAAAGAAAAGAAGAAATGCCTTTGGAAAAATATTTATGATATCAATTTCATATTTAATTATAAATTAAATAAGTGCTAAAATTAAATCAATTGAAATTAAACAATTTAATTTAATCTATAATAACCAAAATATATTGAACTTTTTAAAAAAATTTTTCTTTTCTATTGTTTTAATTAAATGACAGTTTTGTTTTCGTTCAATAAAATTAATTATTGAACAATAAAATTAAACAAATTTTAGGATACAATATAACGTATGATGAAATAATGAAAATATGAAAATCGAAAAGGAATGCTTTGAAAATAGCAATAAATGTTATTTCATCGTTTTATTCGACGTAATTTTTCATTTGTTTCCATTAAATGAAATGGATGGAAGAAAATAATGAAAGGAAGAAATTTTTGTTCTTTAAAGATTATTTTTGATATTTTTAGGGAAAAGTTTTTTTAATGGAAAAATTTGAAATTGTGAAATTTTTTTTTAAAAAAGAAATTTCGCTTTCTCTTTTTTTAAGTTTGAAAGAGAAAAGAAAGAGATAAAAATTAGCATTTGATAATTTTTAATTATTGATTAAATGAATTTCGCCTAATAATTAACTAATTAATTAATTAATATTTATTTGATTAAAATAATATTAAATAATTAACAATGATTAAAATAGTAACGATTATTATTATTATTATTATTATTATTATTATTATCATTATTATTACTGTTATATTAATGAAAAAATTTAAGCTTTATGAATGAATTTACCGATACAGTTATTTTGCTCAACTCTGCAGCCCTCTCTGAACGCCAGCATTTATAACTGACTTCAATAATTAATAATAAATAATTAGTTTCATTTTAATCAAATAAACAATTATCAATGCTAATTGTTTTATGTATTATTATAAGCGTAAAATAAGAGATTATGTAAATTTTTCCAAAATTTTATTTATAAAAACTTCATTGATTTCAAAATGGGGAAATCAGAATTAAAACAATTTGTAGAAAAAATAAAATTTTTGTATCATTACTGATAAATTTCCTATTACTATTACACTTGTGGTAGCAAAGTTAATAATAATTTTCAAATTTGATTATTTAAATTTAATTACTAGCCAAAATTGGATTACATAGGATTAGACTAATATAGTATCATCTTAGCTTATTCAATTTTTACTTTTGAAAAATATAATTAATTGTGCTTTAAGATTTATCATGTTATCAGTGCTTTTTGATTATAGCAAATGCTGCTTTGATGTGGAATTCCGATACAAGCTTTTGATAAAGTTTATATTCTTTTGATAATTTTATTCTATTAATGAAGTTCGTCATTCTGATTTTACCTGATATTATAAGTTGCAACAATAAATTTAGATTTAAAAATGATTATGGAAAAAAAATTGCCAAACTTTCGTTAGTTGTGATTCGATATTTGGTAAGCTTCAAAATCAGCCTAAATATTTTATTACATTGTTGGAAAGAGGATTCACATTCTTTCACATTTCTTGCAAAACTCTAAGAATTCTAGATGAGAATCTAAATATTGAGAAACCTTTAATCGATCAGGCGGAAAAGAGAGGACTGAAAAAACCAACAAGAAAAAGTCAAAACTGAAATTTTAATGGATCACGTATGATATACTCAGTCATCTGAAAAAAGGTTCTTAGGAATTCCCAAAATATTTACTTTAAGATTAACGTTTTCATAAATTGCTCGCTCGTTCATTGTATGTCTCCCTGATTGTCCAGTAGAGATATTGGTTTTATTGAGAGATTAGCAGGATGTTATTGCATAGAAGAAATAGAGTGCCTTTTCACTTTTCTGTCTATTGGAAATCGCAAGGGTTTTGAAAGAGCAGTGGTTAAACATTTAAGATAAGATGAAATTGTGTTAAAACTGAGGAGATAAGAGGGACTAATAGAATTCCTCAAGATATATTTCTTATGTTAGAGAATGAGAAAAGTTGAGAGAGAGTATTTCATAGTTGTGGTAGAAAAGAAAGAAGAAATGCGTGTGTTAGAAATATAAGTGTGGGAATGTGGTAGAAATTGAGATAATGGTGAAATAGTAGTAGTTTGTTATTGCGGTAAAGATTGAGAGGAAAAGAGATTATAAGGAATCAAAAAATTACGTTGTAGTTTGAAAAAATTGTATTATAACATGATTTGAGGAAGTAAACAGAAGAGTCAAATTTTTGTTTTAAATTTATATGGTTTATTTTATAAAAAGGCTAATAACTTATTGTCATGTATAATTTAGTATGAATTAAGTATTTAACCTGAATTATATATAATTCAGGTAACAATGAGTAATGTAAAATTGTAACTTATCCGATACGAGTAGATATATATTTCAAATATTAGTACAATTAGGTTAAATTAGGTTTAATCCGATGATCGATTTTTTTTTATGACACATACCAGATTTATTCTGATACGGTTATCGTATATCTATCAGAATGTGTATAGAGAAATATTAGTTCGAAAATAAGTTATTTGAAGCTTTTATTTGTAACTCATTAAAACCGCAATGAAAATTGTCTAGCACTCGAGACTTTTTCTGAAATTGCAAATACCATATTTTAGATATTGCATGTTTAAAGTAAGATTAAAAAGTGGAAAATTTCATTTTTGAAGAAATTAGGTTTGATATATTGATCGGAGAAAAATTCAACAAAGTTTTCCGAAATGAATTTTCATCCTTTCATTTTTAGTAAGTACGAAATGTGTATTGAATTTAGGAAAAAAAAGAAAATCATTTTTCTTCTATATTTCAGATAATTTTGTACAGAAAAATTGGCGAAGGATAAAATGGTTCAAACTTTTGAAGGTAATTTTAATATTTTCTGGTAAGATTAATGAAATTTATTTTTTGTAAATAAATTTTAAAGTAAGTGAATGAAGTTGTGAAAAAGAGATTATTGCTTCGTCTGCGGACTTATTCATTTTATTGTTTATCCATTTTGAACTTATTAGCCATTCAATCCATTATTTTACGTTTCATTTAATTAATTCCTAGTTTCTTATCGCTCTAATTTATAACTCTTCCCTTACTTTTACTGATTCTTTTTCTACTTCACTTCCTCAATTAAATTATTTGTTTATTGCTTTTTCATTTATCTGTTCGTACTGATTTGTTTATGATGAATCTATAATTGGTTTCATTCGTTTACATATTTATAAATTTGCATGTTACGAATTTATTAGTACTTGTTACTTATAACTTATCCCGGATTTGTTATTACTTATTCGTTATTATTTGTTTGATTTTTTATTTGTCTATTTAATAGTATTTTTATTTGTTAATTACTATCATCTCAAATTTAAAAAATACATAGTTTTGAAAGATTAAATCCAATGTATCTTTACAGATTTGGTAATGGCAATGTTTGATTGTGCAGTGACATTAAGTAGTGCAGAAGAATCTCGGGAAGATGTCGCTCAATCGCTGAGTAAAATTGGA